TACTCAAATACAATATAACACTCACTTTTCTGTAAGTTATGTAATAGTGGGCTAACTTTTTCTATAAACCCAGCCGAATACCATACTACGTGGTATTATGGATAAAAAGCATACAAAATATACATCTCGACCAAGAAATCCCCTTTTCCGGCCGTCACATTTATGGATACTCGACCGACGAGACTATCTTTCCCTAACAAACACAGGTATAAGCACGGTGAAGGTATAAAAAAGAAACAATGTAAATCTCGTCTGTGAACGAATATACATACACATATGTAACTATGTATGTAGGTCTATTGTCTCTCCAGCTTTCTACGTCTCAGACACAATGACAGAACGATGGGTATTCAGTTACCGGCCACAGATTACTGCAAGCCTTGTTTCAGGGAACAATTTGTTGTCTATGGAGTATCTGCTATCTATACTGCCTACATACTTATCCTTATTATTAGGTTATAATAAATGTGTGTGTCTTTTTTTGTCTTTTTTTAAATTTAGGGTCAGTTCGTGTGTTCGCGTCGACCCTATTAAAGTTCGCCTGTTCGCGTCCACCTACTAGTTCGCGTTCAATAAGTGAAACAAGTGAATTTATTTCTGCAAATAGGCTACAAGGCAGCACTTTTACACGTCAATTTTATCAAGCGAACGATGAGGCCGACATTTCCTAACTGACTATTCTGAGAAGAAATGCCGAAACAAACTCATACGGATCGCCATAATTGTAGATACTTAAAACGTGAAAAGCTCAAACAAATGAACACTAAATATTACTTATAGTATAGAGGTAGCTTTCATATAAATTATTATGTTAAGCCGTTGTCCGAACTTCAACAGAGACGGTGGCTGGGCATTACCACCTGCCTGGAAGCCGTCTGAAATCTGCGTCAGACTACAGTGTTGCGGGTCTGGAGTGTGACACAGTGAGCGCGGTATGTAACACTGTTTTTGCGTCGACCCGGGATTCGAACCCAACAACACCAACGCAGCTGCCGGCGGGCGAGTCTAGCGTGCCAACAGTGCCACGCGCGCCGCCGTCGCCGATACCACGAATGGAAGAAAGTGCGCGTGAATCACGGCAGAGGGCGCGCTGGGCCCGAAGACTCGAGTAGCCAGTAGCAGCGCGACAGTCGCCGCGTCGCGGTTCGCGAAATGCTGCTCATGAATATGAGCCTCTAGCATGGCTTGAAACTAGTCGAGTTCCTCGTCGAATTACTACGTGAGTAAGCCGAAAACATAATAATTTATTTAGTATGTCTCACGAAAGTTACAATACAAATATAGCTTTCATATTATTCTATTTATTATTTTCGGGAATTTTTAAGAGCGTCCCGTAACATGGACGTGAATTGGTGGGTGGACGCCTAACAGGTGAACTTATCTTATCTATCTTTGCATGCATAACACATAAGGCGTAGGTATGGGAAAAATAAGTATTATCTCAAACAATATTAGTGTGGGAGAGCCATGCCACGAATAGGCCGGTCTCGTCCGGAGTAAGGCCTCACAGAAAACCGACGTGAAACAACGCTTGTGTTGTGTTTCGTCGTGTGAGTGAGGTTACCGGAGGTCCAATTACCTCCCCTCCCCACTCTCCCACAATCTTCAAATTCCCAATTTCTAAAAGGCCGGTAACGCACTTGTAACGCCTCTGGTGTTTAAGTGTCCATGCGCGACGCGGATTGCTTACCATCAGGTGATCTGTCTGCATATCCCATAAAAAAACTAAGACCTATGAAGGTTTTTCATGTCACATTTTCTTGTTTGGAGATTGTTCTTTTGCTAGAGCCTAGAATGTGTAGAGAGTAGGTCTGTAATTTCTTCCCTTTGATTACAAGGGATCAAGTAAAAAATAACATTTGCAGACATAAGTAGATACAGTAAGTAAATATTTTGAAGAGTACCTAGTACGGTGGCCATCAGGTCATTCTATATAATATATTACATTTTCAACTTCATTGTATTGACATAAAGTCGAAATAAAGACAGATTTGAGTTGGTTTATCTATTTATACCGTGGTATAATATCGTAATCATTATCATCTACAAAGTCCGTCCACTGTCAAACAGGCTTCCTTACTCGGGAGAGGCCCAAAGGATTTTGCCTGTGCCATAATATTATTAAAAAAAAGAAACCGTGGTCCCACATTTTTACGAACGAAGCCACGGGTAGGTATATATAGGTATACAAATAAATACACGTTCTTTTTTTTATTGGAACTCTATATAGTTGCGATGAAAATCCCAGCGTCAGAATCTGTGACAGTTGACATTCGGAATGAAATGTGCGCAATTTTTTTTTGTCTATGGACGGTATTATTTCTTCGTATTTTCAATGTTTGACTTATATTTTTTCTACTATTTGAGAAGCTAAATCGAAAAATATTTTTATCTTAGACTTATTTCGTTACAATACCTACCTAAATAGAATTTTGTTATTATCAGAACTTAGTTAAGAACTTACTTCTTAACTTATCAGAATTGTGTAGGTATCTACATTTTCTACCCCGTTTATCGACTGACTGTTAGTGCAACTACCGAATTCTAGCCAAGAGTTCGACTCCCGGGTCAAGCAAATTGTTATTGGGGCTCTTCGGATTTCAATAAAAGCATGGAGCTGTCTGAGTCTGAAGTTGAGTGAGACCGCGACATAGACTCCTTTTACATGAAGCTCCATACAGCTACCTAATTGTGAACATCCAGCAATGATTGGCCGGGCTAGACGGCGCGGAAATTGAAATAGGTAAATGTCAACCCCAATCGAAATGGTAAATCGGAGTTGCGGAGAACCTAACGGACTACCGGGGTTCCGGCTCGGCGTGCAGGAGAAGGAACGAGGTGGTTTTCAGTCAGTAAGAGTCTGACACTCCCTCCCGCCTCACCCAGGCAGGAGCAGTTATTCGATGATTATCCCCCCTTAAAAAAAAAACGAAATGGTAAAAGACAAGCAGATAACAAAAAGGTCTGTGTAATTACAAACTGATGTCACATTTATGACCATTGATTAACAAAGTTTGTGCGACATCAACCGCCTCGACTCGAAGTTGCTTGAGTCGGGTCACCCAAGTTATGCAATTAAAACACGCTAGGTAGGTAAGTACCTATGTCTAATAAGTTTTAATATTTTTTTACAACTGTTTTTTAGAGGGGGATATAAAAAATAAGAATATTTTTTAATCTTGAAATAAAAAAAGAAATTAGGTACCTAAATAAATAAATATTCGATATTAAATGTAGGTAGGTATATAAAAAGTATTTAAGGAAATTAAAATTGACGGATGACTTGATGACTGACGGGATTTTTTCATCAAAACCGAAAATGTTGAATATCTGAGAAATTAGCCACCTTCGGACCAGATACCTCAGAGATAATTTTGTAGGAAATTAGTTGTATTATCAGCTCCTGAGAGGAATAGGTCGAGTTACAAGTCACCCTACAGTACCTATTTTTTTCATCATCATCATCAACAGCCTATAAATGCCAACTGCTGAGCAAAGACTCTTCTCACACGGAGTAGATTTGAGCATTAATTACCACGCTTGCTCAATGCGGGTTGGCGATTACAAACTTATAATTTGTAGATCCTTTGTCCAGGTTTCCTCACGGTTTTCCTTCACCGTTTGTCAGTGGTGTCTAGATAATCTTAGAAAGTACATATAACTCTGAAAAAGTCACATTGGTACACTTGCCGTTGGTAGGTTTTGAACGTGCACCCTCATGCATGAGAAGCGGGCGTCTTAAACCTCCGGGCCACCACGACCACCACCAGAAATTTATCAATTAGGTAACTAGGTAAACATTGACTGTGGCGTGGCTTAGTATGTCTTCATAAATGCTTCCTTTGGGCATTTTGAAAAAAAAATATGTCACATTTTCATTATAAGTTATCACCTAGGTATTCATATAGCTATAATCATAATATTGTATAGGTTTTTTTCGTAATAAAACTTGTTATAAAAGTGACTTGACCTATTGACAAGCATCTAAATCTATAGACTAAGTAGTTTATCTATAAGTTATTTATATATTCGAAGGAGTACTGCTACATCACAAACATATAACATTTGATATACCTATGTGTACAAAAGTAACAAAATAATGGTCTAATGTATGTAACAATAATGGCGCACTCGCAATTCAACGGCTTAACAAGATCGCTTTAAAATGGAATACAATTTGTTAAATAAAAACAAAAATTCATACTATTACAATGAGAATTTACCAAGAAGAGTTGGCATAGAGTAGGTATAAATGCTTGTCTATACCATTTTTTTAAGGGGGGAAAATCATCGAATGACTGCTCCCGCCTGGGTGAGGCGGGAGGGAGTGCCAGACTCTTACTGACTAAAAACCACCCCGTTCCTTCTCCTGCACTTCGAGTCCGAGCCCCGGTTACCCGTTAGGTTTACCATACGGCACTATTTCAGCGTACGTTACAGTTTCCGTCCTACCCAGTACCTACCTACTGTTATAATTATGATTATTAGAGCATTTAATATCTACTGTTAATGCTTGTGTAGGTATTTATAAATTGTAATATGTTACGAGACAAAAATATTACGGAACTTAAAACATAAGCTAACCAAACCATGTAAAAGATTGAAGAAATAATAATACCTACTTTTATGTCTTCCAACACAAAATGCAATGTTTATTAACGTTTTAATTTTGCTATCAGGTAAAAACAAGAATACAAGTCCTCGAAGAGATAACGGAAAAACATTTACGGCCGTAATTTCCCACCGAAATAAATGTAGACAGTAAAACTTATCAACAACACAACTTTCAATCAAGGAAAACCGAAAACATTTTTAGCGTCAAGGCAAAAGCAAATTTGTATACAGCCTATTTTTATTACAAACGAGTAAATAACCACAGATTCATTATCAAAATTCATTACGCGTATCCCAATAGAAATTAAACATCAAAGGGACGCCAAAAGTCCAAAATATAAACAAAACATTACCAGCTGTGTTCAAAAACTTTAATAATTACTTACTTGGCTCTCAATGACAGTTGCCGATCGTTCGGACACACATATTTATTGGCTTTACTTTGAAAATTCATTGCACAGTTCGGAAAAAAATAATAAAAAAATAATTTGAAAATATTCGCGGAGCGCGGGACAGTGGCGCCGCGCGTTCGCGCCTGTTGATAACGTTCAACTGTTGCTTCGCGCGTGGCGGCTCATAATAATCGATATTTTAACATCGCTCTTGAAAACTAACAATATGTTACGATCAGCGACATCCTTTTATCAGTATGATAAACATGACCATGTAAACATAATGCTTGCATTATTGTGACTTCATAGTTTTAAACACTGGGTAGCTCGGAAAAGTTTCAGGCTTTTAGTGTGTATTTTAGGTAATATTAGAGCCTAGAATTTAGTTCTTTTGATTTGGTACCGATAAATAATATATTAAAGTGGTGTATTATGTGCATAAATACATTGAAATAGTAATAAAAGTCTTAAAATGTGTTAAAACACAGTGGGCAGTGCAATTTACATTAAAAATTTCAAACTATTTAAATTTCGAATAGTAATTAGGATATGACGTCATCGTAAAGGTGAGAACATATAAATGCCTGTCAAATTATAAATTGTCGTTTAGAATGGTTTTAATGCTTTAATATTTTTGTGAACCATATTTATTACAGTGCTTTTTCTATTGCATTTATACTATATTTTTTATGTGATCAAGGAAATCTATATAACATTTCAATTCATTCTATGTCGCTGGTAAGCGTATCCGAACGTAAAAAGAGTCGTCAATTTATTTCTGTCTCTTTCGCTCTTTGACACTAGTGATGTTCGTATAAAATCAAATCGATTTGAAATTGAGTAATCGATTAAAATATCTATCACTTAAAAAAGTATTTCTATTAAATTATTTGTTAAACTATTTTGAAAGCGCGAATGAATAATATTACAGATGAAAGTTAAGTTGAACTACAGTTAATTTAACTCGTCGAGTACCGGTTTTGTAGACACAATTATAGAACAATAGGTTGCGGTCACCGGTGACCGCTTGGTGTTTGACAGTTTAATACTTTATAATAATAATAAAATATTATCATTTGTTATTATTGTTTGTCAATGATAGATTTAAAAATACAAACAATATGTGTTTTTTGCACACTTTTTTCATAAAATTAAATAAGTATCACGAAATCCAAGCAACTATTTCGCAAATTTTTTACTTAGTCAAGACTTAATATGTATAACAAATTATGTCTGAATTCGAATGTATTTTAAGTCGATAATCGTGATCGATATCGATATAATCAGCTGCAAATCGAATTATTATTAGTATTTCCCATCTCTACCTTAGTCAGTTTGACATTTCACTTTTTCAGTAATGATGGCGCACTTGCGAAAGGTGTTTAGTTTACTGTAACTTTTATTTTTATGTAGTGCCGTGAAGTGAAAACCAAGTGATTTTAATGCCGTACCGCAGGCGCTTCTCAGCCAAGATGCCAGATTTCGACGACGAAGTGACTGTCGTCGATGTTTACGACCTGGCATCGGACATTGGCAAGGAATGCGAGATAATTATTGAAAAATACGGCCCTGACGCCGTTACAGCGCTGCTGCCGAAGGTGATTAATGCGCTGGAGTTGTTGGAGAACTTGGCGGTGCGGAACGAGAAGGAGAATCAGGCGCTGCAAGAGTTGACGGCTAAGATTTCACAGTTGGAGAATGATAAAATTGAGAAGGCTGAATACAGGCAGCGCTTCGAGAAGGTAGGTGTAGAGGTCATTGTTAGGTAAATAATTGTTATTAGTTTGTTTAGAGTGCGTGTTGTGCACGGAATACACGAAACATTGGGTGTTTCGTCATCTGCGAATGCATCGGTTGCATTGCAACAGAGCTGAGCGGGCGATGATATTGCGCGACAGTGTCCACTCCGCCGACGTCGCCGTTCACGTCTAAACAATAATTGGCCTCTATTATACCCATTTTTTGTGAGTACATACTGTTTTAAATTTCTAAGAAGACCTTATTTGCTATTAGACCTCTTATCAGATAAGATTTTTATTCTGTTATTGTCTATTATTGGTTTAAACTAGTCAGCCAATTTGTTTGTATCATCGGTTAAATACTTTTTTTGAAGACCTACTCAATTAAAATGGAATTTGGCTATGATACGAGTGATGTAATAGTCTTTCTATTTGAATTGGTAATTACTTTCATTATGTAAAATATTAATGCTAATTTATTCCGCCAGTTGGTCCATGAGAATAATGTCCATCCATTGTAATCGTCGGATTCTCCACAGAATAAAAAAAATATTTTGTAGGGCTAATTTACCTATGGAGTCCGTAGGTAAATTATTTGTGGTATCAGAACACTGAACTAAAGTACCTTGATAAAATTTGTATATTTTACTAGTTACTACTACACGGTCCTCCGCTTTTATTGCTTATAGCATTATGATCAACTTAACTGTTCAATCCCCAAGTGGTCACCGGTGACCGATTTCCCCTAACTCTATTATAGGCTTTATTTCCGATGACTAGAGACTACTTTTGTATGAACAAATTTAGGGGTTAATATATCAACAGACTACCTAATACTAAAAATGCATTCTACCAATAAACTCTTCAGCTTTATTAAATTAGTAACGATTTTGCCACACATGGGCATGAGAGGATAAGAAATACATCATTGACAATTGTAAGCGCAATATAATAACGAGTAGGCTATGTAAATAAATGTTTAACTCATGATCACAGAACACAGATCTATATATGAATTGATTTTCTATTGTATCTTACATCATCATCACAGCCGAATGACGTCCACTGCTGGACAAAGGGCTCCTGTATCTTACATACTGGTAATAATTAATTGGTGAAATTACCTAGTTGTTTAAGCAACAAATGAGTCCACATTTTTTTAGGCTTTATTTAACTAATTGAGATTTCACAGGGATGTCCAAATAAAACTAAAGTATTTGTTTGCTAAAGTTTAAAACTAATGCGCCACTAATTGAGGTGTTTATTTGTACGCCTTAATCAGCTTGCAATGAGATCAACTCCTTATCAAAATGATGTTTGTTAAACTAGTTATTAGCCAATGGGCATTCTCGATTGTACTGCGCTTTGCGTTTTGCGCGAGCTTCTAAGAGCCAACAGACCAGGAGGACTTAATGGGTTTCCGGGGCTTCGGCTCAAAGTGCAAAGCTCAAAGGAGTTTTTAGTCAGTAAGATCAGACACTGCCTCTTGCCTCACCCGAGCAGTAAAAGTCATGTGATGAATTTCCTCCATTAAAAAAAAAAATTACTAATGGAGACTACCGTTTCTTTGTTCACCATATGACAAAATAGCAAGAGGATTTTGTCCAATCAATGCACTTGTTAAATATTGGATGTCCAATGTTGTGACACTGGCTAATTCTCTATGGGACGAAGAACGAGAGGTTCACACTACAGCCATCTGTTTAGCAAAAGTGGTTATCACCAAAGATAGATTGTTTCCTTAGGAAGATTTAGGTGTGTCATGTATTATGGAGTGGACTATGTGTGTGAAGATGCCATCGAAAAACCCGTTTAAATGAGCCGATGGATCACCTGATGGTAAGCAATCGGCGTCGTACCTTACCAGCCTTTTGGGGATTAGAAATTTGAGGATTGTTGGGGATTCAGGGAATTGACTTTTGTTTAACTATAATAAATTTTATTCATTAATACAATAAGACATTTTCTGAATGAAACTTTGCATTTACTATAAGATAAACAAAACATTATACCTACATAACTTGAATATGTAATATGAATAAAACTTAGCATAACATAACAATAACAAAAAAATTAAACAGAAATAACTCTTTTAATCACTTCCTCTATTTAAGATTCCAATCAAGATTAAATCGTAATTTTATTACATAAGGTGTATATCGGATTGGTAGACGATATAATAAATTATTGTGTTTAAAATAGTGAAAGTTAACCAGTAAGTTTTAGTACTGAGGAGCGAAAGCTTAACTATTAGAATGTAGTAAAAGTATTCCAAGTCGTCTTCGAAGTACGCAGGCAGCACGTCGAGGTACCCTCTGACAAATTGGATAAAAAGATTTCCGACCATATTGTTCTGGTATTAAAGTTGAGTATCTGCTGCTACTTTTACATCTTTCTGTTGAATTGATTGTCTCGCTGATACTGAAGTTTCGTTGTGTGTTTTTTGATGATGTCTAAAGGAGTTGACTAAAATATGTCAGTCAGAAAATCTTTTGCCATCGACACCTCTGGAAGTTAAGCGAGAGGTGTCAGACTCTTACTGACTAAAAACCACCCCTATTCCTTCTCTTCGAGCCGGAGCCCCGGCAACCCGCTAGGCCTTCTGCGGCTACGTATCGAACATCAGCCTTACTGGGCCCCATCTGTGGTTGTCTGATGGGTCTTTGAGGCGCCTGGTCTGGTTCTGGTCGGGCGGCTAGCTACCCTTGCTCGCCGTCCGAAGACTCGCACTATCTCTGGAAGTTAGTGATAGAATATTTAGGTCTGCATAACCACACTTAACACGTGTATCGTAAAATCCGACTACACATTTGATAGAGACCGGGCAGAAGCGCACTCAGATAAATCTCAGATGACAGTAAAAACCTTTGGTTACGTATGGTGAACTTTGTTATATAGGTATACAATCCAGCAGAGCCGAAACTTAAACTATGCTGGCAACACATTAATTCGGGGCCCTTTTGAAACGTATCTTTTTGTTTAACGTAACGTAATCCTAGTGTGGGGCAATAGGGTTTTCTCCTGTATCGTGGGTGCATTTACTAACATACAAGTTCACGTACACTTGACACCCAGACCCGAAACAACAATTTGTGGATCACACAAAGATTTGCTTGGTGCAAGAATTGAATCCGCTACACGTCGCAGGGCAGGTGGTTGCCGTGCAACGTGTAGTGGTTGTGTGTCGTAGAAATTGTCGTTCCTTCGGGGCCCCCTGAGGATGGGGGACCAGGGCACAGGCCGCGAGGGCCCTTGTGGTACGATACTGCCAGCATGTAGCTGAAGAATGTCACATGTTATTGATTCTGATGAACGCGGTTTCAACTATGTAAAAAACTCACAAACAAATAACAAGACTTAGATTACTAATAGACAGATGTATCGTCGCTTACTATTAGGCTTTAGGCGAGATAGTGATCAACAAACGCCAACCTAACTCAGATAGTTAGTTATAAAAAATCTATCGATATCGATTTTATAACCACCAATTTGTTCCGGTAACCAACTTGATTTGTCGATTCTGATTCCGAGGTCGTAATACTTGCAATCAACACTGCGCATCTCCCCCAGGATTGCATTTCCGAGTCCGCCATTGTAAAAGGGGCTTTTAAACTGTCAAACACCAAGCGGTCACCGGTGACCGCATCCTATTGTTCTATAATTGTGTCTACAAAACCGGTACTCGACGAGTTAATTTAGAAATTCCCTGTAGTAAAACTTCCCTAAAAGGTGGTAATGAGGTGATCAGCGAGCAAATAAAGAGATAAAAGATTATGGACCTGTTTCATAATGGCTAATTAAGTTTCGTTTAACTTAGCGACTACATTTTGTATGAAAAGTACGTTAAGTAACTAACTTGTTACTTAATCCATGAGAAATAGAAAGAAAAACAAAAACTCAATCAGATTGTGTGAAACAAGCCCTTTATTGATTTAGCTAATAAATAATATCACAGATAGAAATGTTCAATAACAAATATTTTATACGAACGGACTAGTTGCAATAAACCGCCATGATCGAAATTCACCGCAAAGGAAATTATTTTCAATACGCAAATCTTGAAGGAATCCGAATATGTGCTTTAGACGGATATTGAACCGCAAGAAATGCTCTAAAAATAGCCAACTGAGTCTTAGTAGAACTTCCATTTTCCAAGATGTAACCACTTCAAAAATAATTTGGATGATTAATTGGATTCTGTTGAGAGCTCTCTCCCTAAGGCAATCTTAGAAATGTAAGCAATTCCATTAGTGCTCGTCTGAGTATCAAGTTGAGGCTTCAACTTTTGCGGGCACTTTTTTGGGACCAAACCGCTACATTTAATCCTGACAGCTACTCGTGGAAGTCCTTCAAAGACCACTTTTTAACTAAAGTAGATTCGAAGTAACGAGTTGATAACTGGTGGGACTTGTCCCTTTTTAGAGGCAGTTGTACTGTAATTACTTTCTTTGATCATGTAAAAAGCGTGTAACTTTGCTGGTGGTTAAGGGATTTAGGTGAAAATGGGCTTAAATAAGTCTACAGGCCTAGATAGTGGCTTGAGGAATCTCTGTTTGCGAATCGATAATTTCTGGATCATTAAGAAAGCTGTTAATGTTGTCCTTTTTCATTTACAATTGGTCGGTTTTCTAATTTGATAATTAAATACTTACCTATTTGAAACTTCGTGAGAATATAAGCATTGTGACATAATTGATTGTTATGCCGAATTCCCAAGTTTTTTGATAATGACTGTACTCGTATGATGACTACTAAAGTAACCGCGTGTCCGTAACACATATCCACAATTCTCGTTTTAGAGAATAAAAACTCTAATTCTAAAAATCACAAAATATTTTATTCGTATGACTTCAGGTTCAGATGATACCATGACGAATTACTATGAAAATAAAAATCAGATCTCCGAGTCACAACCGAATAACGCAAAAGTCGAAGACAGTAAATAACTCAAAGAATTTAATTAAGTAAGATGCACAATACGAAACGCCCATATTTTTCCACGG